TACAAAAAATTTTGAAAAAAATTGATCGATATATACATTGTTAAAAATAAAATTTTATTTAGAAAATTTTAAAATCTTATCGTAAATTATTTGAAATTTTTTTTAAAATATTTTCATTAAAAACTACATGTGTAAACAAAACTTTTCATTATAAAAACGTCCAATTTGAACAATTTTTGACCGAGTTATAAGAATTTTAAAAAAATTTACGTAAAAAACGTCATTTTTCAAAACTCTGTATCTCCTGAACCGCTTTATGACATTTTTTTTAAAAATCAAGGTAACTCATTTCAAAGAGTACTAAAAGAAAAAAAGTTAAAAAAAATTTGAGATGCAAAAGCAAAATAATTTCCGACTACGGATATTCCAGTCATATCCGGAAATTAGGATATCCCTAGAATATTTTTAGAATGTCTTCAAAATATTACAGAACATCCTTGGGATATCCTACGGATATCTAATGGAAATAACTAAATTATTTCATCATCAAATCATCAAGTATCTCTACGAAATGCATTAGAAGTTGATCCTTCATTTAAATAAAGCAAAACACAAATATTTAACTATATAGAAGGTTGATTACAAGCTCAATAATTGTTATCAAAAGATACTGCGCACAATGATTTAGCAAAATCATTTCGATCAAAAAAATACAAGTTGGAGACGCAAGAAAAATAGATGAATTAATGAACAAATTAAAATGCTTATTTGTATGGATATCCTTAGGATATTCAAACAACTTCTTTTTAGGATATCCTAATAATATATCCATTGAATATCCCTAGGATATCTACGGGTTAATGTACTAGAATTCCCAGTACTGTATGAGGGATGAAATACAAATTTTCCGTTTATTTATATTTATTATGTCATATAAAACTTAAAATCTGACAGTTGACAGCTGTCAAAGTCACTCTCAATTTTACTAAAAAAGTCGATAGCTCAAACCTACCACTTTAATCTCCAGCAGCAAAATAATATCATACATATAGTAATAACTTAAAATTACCGGAAACAACTTTTTACCACGTGCGCATCCGAGTAACAAGTTTCAAGCGAGTCCGATCAATTTTTAAAAAGTTTTGCGTCTATTGGATCCATCATCTTGACGTTTGAAAAATTAATATTAAATTCATGATCAGTAAACCTAAAAATTCCCGATTATTTTTCAAGCGAATGTAAATAGCTTTTCTGTCTTTGACTACTTTTTTGGAAATTTGTCCCCTTGATTTTTGACAGATTGACTTAACTTTTCTCAAAATTGAGAAGTGACAGTAAAAATTTACAATTCTTATAATAATTTAATTTCGAAAGAATAACTTTTACCATAACATTCTGTTTAATAATTTAAATGTAATATTATGCAGTGCTCGAACCAGTGAAAGTATTAAAAAAATACGGACTTTACGAATAAAAAATAAAAAATTACGGACCAATTACTGACAAAAATATAATCAGTCCGAGTCAAATAAGAGAACATTTTACTTACATAAAACAACAAATTAAATTTTTCATAACTATAAAGCATGATCGATTAATAAAGTCATTATCAATTCAATTACTATTTGCAAGAATTTTTTACTGAAATTCTTCTTTAAAGTGATTAATTTTAATAATTTTCGAAAAAGTTCTTTGAAAATTTTCTAATCCATTTGTTTACAATATTTATTATTTCTAAAAATTGACGCTATATTGCTTTTGCCATTCAATTATTATTTACTGAAATTAATTTTTAAATCAATTTTTATTAGAAGATTCTACGAGAATTCAATAATTTAAATACAAAAATAAATAATTAGTTTAATAATTGAATGTTTCTAAAAAAAAAGAATTCTCATGAAGAATTTTACCAAAAAATTTTAAATAATTGAATTCTTTGGAAGAATTTTAATAAAATTTTGAAGAATAATTACATTTTTCTTGAAATTCGATTAAAATTGTATAATTTTTTAAAAAGTTTTTTGACAATTTTCAAATTCATTTGTTTACAATTCGATTTTACAAAATTTTAATTATTCGTAAATTTTTCAATTAAATATATTATATTAGAAAATAAGAACTTCAAATAATGTAAAAAAATCCGTAATTAAACTTCCTCGAAAAAAATTGATTCCATAGAATTGTTAGTTAAAAATATGAAAAATTCAGATTTTCAAAGATTTCAATTTGAAACCTTTTTAAAATTCAATTATTTCTAAAAATTCACTCTCTAATGCTTTTAATATTTAATTATTATCTGAAATTCATTTTAAATTCAATTACTTAAATACAAAAATAAATAATTTATTCAATAATTGAATGTTTCTCGAATTTGAATTCTCATGAAATATTTTATCAACAAATTTTTAAATAAAAACTCTTTCGACGAATTTTAATAAAATTTTTAAGAATACTTAAATTTTTTGAGGAATTCGAATAAAATTGTATTAAAAATAATTGAATTACTACGAAGAAATTTATAGAAAATTTGTAAATAATTGAATTCCTGTGGAATTTTTATTATTTATAAATGTAATTAGATGTTGACGGTTAATTTTATTTAAAATTTTATTGTTTAAAAAGATGAATGAATTTGACAAATTTTTTTTTTTTATTTCTTAACACAATTGAATTTCTGCAAAGAATTTTATTTCTTTTGAAAATAATTGAATTCCACAGAAGAATTTTATTATTTATATGAAAACAATTGATTTCGTGCCAAGAAATTTATTTTATTTAGTGGAAACAATTTAATTGTTTCAAAGAAAATTAGAATAATTTCGAGACATTTCGTTAAAATTGTATCAAAAATAATAGAATTCTTATGATGAATATTGTTATTTTTTGAAAATAATTTAACTTTGCAAACAAAATTTCTTAAAATTCCTAAAAATAATTGAATTTCTAGGAAGAATTTTGTTATTTATCAAGATAGTAATTGAATTCTTTCGAAGAATTGTGTTAAAACTTTTGAAATAATTAAGTATAATTTAAAAATTTTTTTTGACGAATTTTAATAAAATTTTCAGGAATAATTAAATTTTTCAAGGATTTCAATTAAAATTATACTAAAAATAATTGAAATTCTGCAATGAGTTTTATTATTTATCAAAATAATTGAATTTCTAAAAAGAATTTTATTATTTACGAAAATATTTGAATCCCTGTAAAAATTAAATGTATTATTTATGAAAATAATTGAATTATTGTGAAGAAAGTTATAAAAAATTTATAAATAATTCAATTCCTGTAAAATTTTTATTATTTTATAAAAATAATTAAAGGTTTGCGTATAATTTTATTAAATTTTTTAAAAATAATTCAGTTCTTTTGTAAAATTTTATTAAAATACTAGAATATTAAAAAATCATATTGAATTGAGGGAAATTTTTGAAAATAATTCAAATTTTGCTAAGAATTTTATTAAAATTTTTGAAAATAACTGAATTTTGACGAGAATTTAAAAAAATTTTTGAATATAATTGAATTTTTGCGTGGAATTTCATTACTTTTAAAACTGATTGAATTTCTGAAACTATTTATAATTAATCTCTAAAATTCTCCAAATTATATCGCACAATTTACGAACTTTTCGTCTTTTCTCAATAAAATTACGGACTTTACAGACCTTTTTTCAAAAAATGGACTTTTACGGACTTCAAGCAAATTTACGAACTTTTTACGGGATTTGCGAACTTAGTTCGAGCCATATGTATTGTAGTTAAAATATTTTTTTATAAATCAACAGTAAATTGGACCTTAAATTCTGTTTCAAATACATTTGGGTCGTATTTAGGGTCGAGTTTACGGTCATATTTACTGTCATGTGTATACTGTCCTATTTACGCTCATGTTTTATTGTTTACGTTGACGTTTGTGAGTTTGTTCACGTCTCAAACTCTATTGTAATCTATTAAATGATTAGTTTTCCTTGAGTACTTTAAATATTGAAATGGTAATCGATGGAAAAATTGTTGTGATTTTTGCTTGTTATACAATAAAATTAAAGAATTAAAATAGAAATTCAATGCCATAAATATTTCTGTTGAAATTCTTTCCTTTATTATTTGTAAACCAGGTGAAGGCATCATTACAATCACGTTTTGAACTCAGCATGTCAAGGAATCACAATGTCACGAGACTTAACTGGAAAAAATTACCATTGCAAAAGATCTCTTTGGAAATTAATTATTAGATATAATTATTTTTTAATTCTGTAATTAAAAAAATATTTAATATACAATAAATTTTAGGTAAACCTCACAAAATTATATATTTAAACATCCTTTATTGCTTTTTGAAATGAGCACGAAATTATAACGTTGTATTCATTCATTTCATGTAAATATTTGTATTAATTAATGATAACTCAGCATTTAAAATTAAATGAATGTTTATCTTGTATGTGTTTATGATCATAAAGAATGCGGTGTTTTAAAACATTTGAAAATTAAATCTTTAAAAATTATATTCAGTTTTTATCAATAATGGAGATTTTTAAATTTATGTACTTCTCAAAACAAAAGTAAATCAGTAAAACTGATACACAAATGAATTTTGTAAATATTATATGGTTATCATATCTTTTATGATTATCTTTTACTCTAATAATATCAAAATATAAAAATATATGCAAAATATGCAATATTTTTTTAATGGATATTCGAAACTGTGCAATCTCAGTACGCTTTAACTAAAGGTTAAAAATACTTTCAAGAAACATTGATTACCTGAAATCAAATAGCTCGTATAGACTATTTCATAAAAATTTTACTTATATAATTTATCAATAATTTAATTGGCTTATTTTATACACAATTACCTGTTATTAATTAATTATATCTATTTTTCAATTATATAGTTAGAAAATCATTAAAGAAGTGATTTTAATTTAATTAAAATCCAATTATCCTTATTTTGAAATATTAATTAGCAATCAATTTATTTTATGAATTTATTTATATTATCCCTTCAAATTATTACACTTTGTTAATCAATTAGAATTATTTTAGTGAGTCTACCTTCGAGGAATAATGAGCCATTAATTGATAAACAGATGCTACAAATTCTTGAAATATTTGTTTTCACTCAACTCGACGTGGCGCTAAAATTTTTTTGCCGTACAATTATATCAGAATAATTCGTTTTTAACTTAAAACATTATCAAAAACAACTGGAAAGTAAAGTTTGAACTCTGCAAACTGACTTCGTTTTCCACTATTCTTTAAAAGTTATTTAAAATTGAATAAAAATAGTGAATAAAATTAAGTAAACACTGTGTACCGGGAAACTGTTCTCTCTTAGACGGCTACCGCACAACTGTGATGTGGGGCACCTTCTACCTTATACAGCATCGCTCTTTCCAATTTTACTTTGCTTCATATCCTGCCTTCTTCTTTTCTATCTCGTTTTTACCTGCGTTTTGATCAAGCTGTTAACATTGAAATGCTTTCCAACCAAATAATATTTAGTATTTATTGATTTTAAAGTCGACATTATTAGAGGGACGTAAATTGAAATTTCACTATTTCAAGTTGCATATAAACATATTATAACGGACTTAATTTTTTAAATTAGGTATAAATCATAGTAAACATTTTTTATGTCGATACCTCTCTTCAAAAAAATCCACATTGGTTGTTGGTCGTATTAAAAAACCTCTGTTCAGTTGATCCTTTAAAACAACCGAACTGTATTTAAAAGGATTTTTTTTTGAAGGAAGATATCGATGTAGTCCTTATTTCAATACAGTATACTTTATTTAAAAATATTGTACATTATTCTGTCTATAATGGATTAAGGACACGTAAAAAATGGTAAATATAGTTTTTCAATGATTAATTAATAGTCTCATATTTTAAATATTTCTCAACAGAAATACTGTTTGTCCATTAAAAATAATTCATAAAAAAATTTAGGACTCGAGGAATCATTAAATATTAATTAATTTTATAACAAAAAATACGGGTCACTCTTTCTTTTCTATTTTCTGCAATTCTAAGTGCTGACAGAAAGAAAATTTTACCTAAACTACATTTTGTTTATATCTCTTCTGTCTACCTATATAATAAAAAGATTTCGCAGCTAGATTCAGTGTCCTGAAGTTGGCCATAAACTGCTTCATACGCTCTGAAGTTAAATCAAAATTTAAGTCAAATTTGACCTATGTTTTAACCTGTAGGTCAAAAAGAGGTCCCATAAGGGCCTTCCAAAGGGTCGATACCCTAGATCAAAATTTAGGTCAAATTTGACCTATTTATTAACCTACAGGTAAAAAAAGGTTCTATTAATGCCTTCCTAAGACCCTCCAAAGGGTCGATATCCTAGGTCAAAATTTATGTCTAATTGGACCTACTTCTAAATTTGGCCTATATGTCAAAAGAGGCCACATGAAGGCCTTCCAAGGGGTCTATACCCTAGGTCATCATTTAGGTCAAATTTGACATATTTCTTAACCTATAGGTCAACATAGGCCCTATCTAGGCTTTCTAGGCTAACAATTGCGTTACGTCAAAATATAGGTCAAATTTGATATATTTTTCGACCTGTAGGTCAAAAAGAGGAACTATATTTGCCCAACAATTAATCGTTCCCTCAAGTCAAATTAGAACAATTTTTCTACCTGTAGGTTAAAAATATGTCACATTTGACTTAAATTTTGACCTAGGGTAATGACCCTTTGGAGGGTCCTTATAAGGCCTCTTTTTGACTTGTAGGTTGAAAAAAACGTAAAATTCGACTAATATAGATATAGGTAGAAAATTAGCGTTATAAGGTCCCCTAAGTGACGTTACATGTCAAAGAACTTCACGTTTGACCTATGGCCTAAAATAATTGTTCGTTACGATACATCAAAATTAAAGTTAATTTTGACCTATTTTGTGCCCTCGAAGTAAAGTGTCATTTTTGAACAACAGATTTTGATTTACAGATATAATAGGAAGTAAAGTTACTTCAAAATTTGCAGATTAAGAGTATTGTTAAATTACAGAAAAAGTTATTACAAATGTAAAATATATAATCTTTATTTATGGGTATAATAAGTAGTGATGTTAGGTCAAAAAATAGATTAGATTTGTACCTACCTTCAAAGTTATTCAAAGTCTATACTTTATAATAAATATAAGTAACGTAATCTTTATGTTAGGTTTCAGTCAAAAAGAGTTGTCATAAACTAATATCTATTTCTTATTATTAAGAAGAGGGTTGTGGACTTAGGACCTTGCAGGTCAACGCCACTAACGCTTGGGTTATAGTTATGCACAAAAAGACAAGATGTAAGTAAACTAACATAAAATTAAATAAAAAATAGGGGGTTGTCGCGCAGGGGGCGGAACCCCCCTAGTCATTTATGATATAAATAATGGTCGAATACAGATTGTCCTAAAAATAAAACTCGAAAAAAGTATTAATAATTATAGAAAATGAGCAATTCCACGTGCAACGATCAAGTAAAAATTTTAATTCTCTAGGAATGGCTTGAAACTCTGGTAAACTGTTGTTCTATATAAAAGTAATAAAAACCTATCATATTAACTCTTTTAAAAATTGATTATGTAAATTATGGGAACTGCAGTTATGCCGTTTTGAGCGAAATTATTAATTTTGACAAATCTTGATAGATTTTAATTTCCACATATTGAATTTTCATTTTCATTTTCAAAAATCTTTAAAAATAATTTTTTAACACTTCTTTTTCAATATTTACAAAAACTTATACTAAGCTACACACTCACATATTCTCTGGTGGCCCTTTTCCCAGTTCGCCCGCTTTCAGGCTGTTACCGAGCTGTAACTTTGCCTGCGTGTATTTCTAACAAAAGGCATTCTATTGGAAGGCACAGCTCAGGTTGCTTATTTTCAAATTTGTTGTGAACGGTTTTTTGTGAATATTTCTTAAAGATAAGTGCAACTTAAAAATAAATAAAAGTTCGTGCAATGTTCTTGATAAAAACTCAACATTTTCTAAAATAATGCAAAACAGCAATCCTTTAAAAAACATTCCTTTCTGTACTGAAAAGAATTTGTTTTAAAGTTTCAACTATACTTTGAGTAGTAAAGTGAAAAGTTGTTAAAATAACCTTTTTATTTTAACTCTGTTTGTATATTAAATTGTACCAATTCTTATGAACCTAGTATAAAATTTAGAATTCAATCAACCAAGCAAAATAGTTAAATTTCGAAAAGAACTACAAAATTTTATTTCATAAACTACATTCTTAGTTCCTTTAACTACACTTTGGTGTTAATCACAATTGTTTTAATTTGGTTGGGGTCTTATTGAACTATAAGCAGAATAATTAAAAAGTTGTCAAGTCCACTAAGAATTTTTATGAGTGTGTAATTTGGAAGAAAAATTTTACACACTGTTAGGGAAAATTCAATTTAGAAACTAAAATTATTTTCACTTTAAACTTGAAATTTATACTAGTGTAAGTCCGGGCAGTTGGACAGTTTTAAATGAAAGGGAAAATTATTTTATTTATTTAATACTTTGATGTTTACTTTTATTATATATTATTGGGTGAGATGGCCATTAATAACTTTAATTTAAAGTTTTTACATTCTCATAAAAAATGAGAAGGTCTTGGAATTGTGCGATTTTGAGCAATATATAATTTTGGCAAATCTTCACTTTTCATGGTCCCCTGATGCTAAAAAAGTGGTTTTTAGAGAAGTGTCTGTCCGCTTGTCTGCAGCAAAATTTGTCGCCACGGTAACACAACTAAATTTTTATGAATCGAGTTGCAATTTGAAATACTTTTTTAGTCCATAAAAATGAAGCCTGAGTTCGTTGAACAGCCCATTTTGTTAACCCTTTCAGTCCCTGTGGTCGATATATCGACCCCCTTTTAAGCCACCGATTTTTTAAACAGAACTTAAAGGAAAACTTTAAATAATTGCATATTTCTTATGTTTATGTTTCTACAAATAGGGTTTAATAGTTTTTTAACAAATTAATCTATATTATTTATGTTTTTTTGTTATTAAGAAACTTATACACGGCAACGCATTATTTCAGGTTAAACTTAACTCCCGTGTAGAAAAATTTCGGGGCAGTCTGGAGTCCAGTGATTGCCCCAACTAGACGCATCTGGACGGTCTAACTGTATGATATATGGGATTTTTCTGGACGGTCTAATTTAGACTTTCTAACAGTATGCTATATGGGATTTTTCTGGACAGTCTAATTTAGACTGTCTAACTGTATGTTATATGGGACTTCATAGGCATCACTAGAATTCAAAATTTTTAAAGTACAAATCATAGTACAATCAATACTTTAGTGCCCGATTTGTCGGTCTTCTTTGAATTTATACATGGATTGTCACTTCAAAATTCAATGGAATAATTTAGTCAATCTAAAGAATCGTTCAAAAATAAATATTGTAGGTTTATATGAATTATTATAAATAAAATTTTCAATGAATTTAATTAAACATTCTAAAGAACTTAGATTTTTGAAAAATGCCTAATAATTCAAATTCTCCTGAAATTAGATAAATTTTTTAACATATTGCATTTGATTAATTATTAAAAATAATTTATCTGTAGAAGAATTTTAGTTAAAAACACTACACCATTGAGTGTTGGAGAAGTTACAGATTATTGTAGAAATTTAATTATTTTCAAAAGTAACAAAATTCTACACAGAAATTCAATTATGTTCAAAAATTTGTTTAAATTCTCATCAAAATTTCAATTATCTTTATAAATAATAAAATCGTTCTCTGAAATTCAATTATTTTCCAAATTTTTAACAAGATTCTTGGCAAAATAAAATGTAATAAGCAAAAATTTAATTAGGTACTTTCATAAATAAAAAACCTTTCACAAAAATTCAATAAGGATTTACAAATTTTTTATAAGTTTCTTCTCAATAATTCAATTATTTTTATAAATAATAAAATTCTCAGGATTTTTTTATTATTAAAAATTTCTTAGTTAAATTAAATTAAATTAAATTTAATTAAATTAATTAATTAATTTTAATTAATTTAATTTTTTTTAAATTTCTTAATTATTTGTAATACAATTCTAATCGAATTCTTCGAAAAGTGTATAGTCATACTTAAGAATTCTATTGAAATTCGTCATAAGAATTCAATTATTTAAAAAAAATTTGATAAAACTGAAAGTAATACTTTAAAAAATTGTTTAATGATTATAATTGTAGTAAGAATTATTTATTTAAATATTCATATATAATAATTAAAATAATTCGGGATTATTATGTGTAATAATTTTAGTCATAGTTTTTACTTCGTCCTTATAAGCAACAGAAGATATGACACTGGCATTAATATAGTAAATTAGGAGAGTTCACATCCAGACTTCAG